ACGACGGACGACGCGTAGCCTTTGGAATTGGAAGAGAGCTTGCGATATGGGATATTGAGACAGGGGTGATGTTAAGGTATAGCACAAACAGAAACAGAGAACCTCCAACGCATATTGCTTGGTTCCGGGACGCGACGTTGGGTGCAAGGTTAGGTGGAGGAACGTTGCGAATCCTGTCCGTGACAAGTCAAAGCGCTGTCTGCGAAAAGCAATACGATGATTTTGGGTATCTCAGAGAGAGCGATCTGCGCCAGTTCATCGATACGAATGAGGGCAAACTCACGGCGGCGGATCTAGAGAGGAAACTGGAGAGGAAACTGAGGATTCGGCTAAAACGAGATGGAGTGTTCTACAAGACAGGAGATGACGAAATCCGCCTAGCAACCGTTGTGGGAGATCGTTGGTTCTGTTCTACTTCAGGTCGGCACATTGCGATCCAGGTAGAAGCAAAACTGTACTTTTACGAGCTCGTGCAGTAGTGTGATTGTGAGTGTGTGAATAACCACTGGGCAAAAGGGGATGTCCCGGCCAGGACAGGACAGGAGGGGTTGTACCCGTGGTATATGTAGTAAGGGATGATGTGCCAGGAGAAATTTGTATGTATTCGATGTTGTTTCTAGTTACCCGACGCCTCGATGCCCCTCTCCGCAAAAAAAGTAGCCGGCACATCTTTTCTATGTGTCGCGCGCAGTTGCGTCAGTGTGCGGGGAATAGTGTCGTCCAACGTAGAGACTGCGCGTAGCGAGACCAGCAAACAAAACTGGAGGCGGAACAGGCACATACGATATCAGTCGTTGTAGTATGAAGTTCAAGATATGCACGGCGGATTTGCGGTGGTTTTCGCTTTGTCAGGTATTAGAAACCTTGACGACGGTGTTAGCGTTGAGGTTGACGGCATGTGTAGCGTCGAAGACGGGCGGTCGTCGGGAGGCTGTGGCTTGTTGGTAGTGGTGGGGGGTGCATGATGGAGCATGAAGAGGTTGTGTGAAATGGAGGTTTTGGGTTGTTTGGACGCAACTGCCCGTGCACGGACACTCTCACATTAATGTGTATTAATGTGTAAGTGTGTTGAGTGTCCCTGTTCCAACCATCTCTTAAGAGATGGTTGGAAACAGGGAGGAAGAAGACAGGGGTACGGGATACCGCCGTGGCTATCCGATCAGCACTTGTTTGTGGTTACACCGTCAAGTAGACCGAGGCCAGGCACTCTTCCTTGTGCTCGGTGGGATGGCCAGAGACGACATTGTTTCCTGCCGCGGCCATTCTTGCTCGCCGGACATTCTCACTCACCGGAGGTACGACAGTCAGAAACACGTTGCAACCTGAATGTGATATATACATGTATAGTGAAGTCCCTTCTGCAATACATTTCACATACCGTACGGCGGTGCTCTATGAACGAGTGTGTGTTTTGTTCACCGTCGAGGGCTTGGATGACGTTCCCTTCAGTGAGGATGAGGGTGTCGTCGGCGGAGGCGATCGGGATAGAAAGGGGGGGAAACGAGAGGGCGGCGATGGGAACGGCGGTGCACCGGGAGGGGCGAGTCTAATGGCCATTTCTGAGTTGTGAGTTGCTGCATTTTTCTTTGCTCAAGACCTTGTTTCAATTAAAAAAGCGTTTATATAATTTAATACTGTAGCGCACAAGGGCCGACTCTCAGCACCCGGCGCCTACCGCTACGTGATCAACTTTCCGTGTTGCCAAACCAAAGGCATCAACCCCTCCTCGTCCTTCTCCGGCACCTTGACGCCGTCAATCTTCGTCAAAACAATGTGATGGTCCTGCACATCCTCGGTATGCTCAATCGTGCAACTTGCCGCCACCATGCACTCTTCCTCCACCCGTGTCCTATCCTCCTTCCCCAACGCAGCCCTCGTCACGTACCGCTCGGCAATGTCCTTCTGCCTTGTCGAAAGCGCGAACAGCCTCACGCCCGCCCCGACCCCGCCGAGCCCCGCGTAGAACGCGCTCGAGTGCGCCACATTGAAGCATATCATCCCGCGCGCCGCCGCAGGCACCGTGACGGACGTCGCCGCCATCGCCAGATCCTCCCCGTGGGCCGCGCTGGTTGACACCACCCACATTGCCGACGGCATCTGCCGCAGCAACGTTTTGGTTTGCTTGTCCAGTGGGTAGAACGGCAGCTTGGAGCGCGGTACGTCGAGTGCCACCGCGCGCTTGGCAAGGTACGTGTCTCGGTAAATCGCCTGCACGAATTCCGCCTCGCCTAGGCTCACCGCCGTTACCACCGCCTGTACCACGGCGCACCCGCCCACGACGGAGATGTTCTTCAGCGATAAGTCGGCCGTGACGCCTGTCTTGCGCTCGTCCAGCATCAGTGACGAGGATGATGATGATGACGACGTCGAAGGCCGCGGCGCGAGAAGCTCCACCCTTACCTGGTTGAGGGGGTCTTCCGCGACGAGCGACGCCCTTTTGAAAAACTCGTCATCCGTCACAAATAAGACCACCTGCTCCGGCTGCATGGAGCACCCGCGAAAGGTGTCCAGTTCAATCTCCGCCCCGTCAAACGTGCACCGGTAGTAGTTGGTCACCGTGTGGTGCCCAATGTCACCAACCACTTGCTGCCGCTCTGCGGCGGAGAGGCCCTTCTCATCGCCGGAGCTCGTGGACGTGGAGTTGGGCTCGCTCCGCAGGGCGGGACTGAAGATGTTTGCCGAGTAGAGGCTCTTAGCGGGTGCGTCGGGCCACGTGGCCTCGGCGCGGTCCATGATTGTGATAACCACTGACCGGTATAAGTTATACCGGTCAGTGGTTATCACAATCATAGCATCCCCACCGGTAGTGGTTATAAGTTATAACCACTACCGGTTATAACTTATAACGTAAACCATAAGTTATACCGGTCAGTGGTTATCACAATCATAGCATCCCCACCGGTAGTGGTTATAAGTTATAACCACTACTGGTTATAACCACTACCGGTTATAACTTATAACGTATAACCACTACCGGTGGGGATGCTCTCAGAGCATCCCCACCGGTACGCAATCAAATCAAATCATCAAATAACAACACTTGGCACAGTTTTTCTGTAATTTGATTGGCTCCCTAGAATTTGGTTGTTTCGTTATTTGGCTGTTTGATGCTTCGGAAAGAACTGCCCCACCGGTGAGAACCAAATGAAGTACATTCCCCTCGTACTCACCATCGCATCCTTGTACTCACACTCGTACTCACCCTCGTATCGCACCCTCAGTCGTAGTCGCACGCTCACTCGAAACCCATCCCGCGACCTTCTCCCTCGCCACTCTGTCTGCACTCCTTCCCTCTCACCTCCACCGTGGACAAAGACAGACTGCCGGCGCTGTCCTCCCTGCTCACGGACAGCACGTGCTCCCCACGCGACCGCGAGCAGCGCGATCCCGGAGAGAACATACGCGCCGGCGGCAGCGGCGCTGCGGCGGATGATTGGCTCGACAGCCGCGAGCGACGTTCTCCTGCGGCGGCTGCTGCTGCTGAGCAGCGAATCGCACTGCGCTAGCACTGTCTGCGCTTGTGAACCTGTCGGAGGACGAGGCGGCGGCGGCCCTGACGTACGCGGACGCGGTGCGGCTCGCAGCGCAGGTGGTCCTGGACGCGGACGTCGTCGCGCTGCACGCGGCGCTGCTGTCCAACCTGACGCGCTTCGCGCCGGGCGTGGACGAAGCGGAGGGCGCGGACGGGTTTCGGGAGAGGGGCACGCTACTCGTGCTCGTGGAGAGGGTACCGACCGAGTATTCCGAATGTGCTGCGGCTGTCGAATGCGTGCGCGAGCCAGGAGGGGAGGGACGTCCTGTTGGTCGAGGGAAGGCAGGCGGAGAGACAGCTGTTGACGAGGTTGCTGAGATTGCTGGAGGCGGGGGAGGCAGAGAAGAGGCTGGCGGGGGCGAGCTGGGTGCGGAACTGCGCGATGGCGGACGAGTGCCATGATGTGTTGGTGGGGGTACGGCGGCGGTCGCAATGTGCTTGGGGAGGTCAAAGGAGGTGGGACGGGAGGAGATGGCGGAGATTCGCGCCTGGTTGGTCGAGGAAGTGTTGTTGTTGTGTAAGAGCCGGGCGGGGAAGGACGCGCTCAGGGATGGCGGGGCCGTCGACGTTCTGGAGGGATGGAAGGGGGAAGAGCATCAGGGATGGCGGGGCCGTCGACGTTCTGGAGGGATGGAAGGGGGAAGAGCATCAGGGATGGCGGGGCCGTCGACGTTCTGGAGGGATGGAAGGGGGAAGAGCATCAGGGATGGCGGGGCCGTCGACGTTCTGGAGGGACGGAAGGGGGAAGAGCATGCACGCCGTAGTGGGCATTCTGGATCGGCGGGAGACACTGGTAATCTCGAGGCAAATACCGCATCGATGCACTTTTGGTGGGAAGCCGTTTCGGTGGACCAATAGAACGTGCACAACTGGATTGTCAAGGGTAATCAAACAGAGACCATCCGAACCAAATTCTTGATATTTGGTTCCGATTTTTAGATCGACACCAAAAATTTGATGATTTGGTTGCACCGGTGGGGATTTCAATCGACATCAAATCATCAAAGTTTGGTTGTTTGGGTATTTGATTCTACCGGTGGGGATGCTCTCACTCTATCGTGATTTTACTCTGTATTGTTGGCGACTTGCGTCAAAGGGCAGTTGTCGATGTGATTGGTGATGGCCGAAAGCGATGATGAGATTGGAGTTTATTTTTACCTTATTCCAGACCCAAAGTACTGTAAATTAGTTGATTTGTCGGCAGTGAACTACAGTACAACGCAAGATATTTTTATATTGGTGGCCATGAAGGCCAGCTGTTACAGCACAGAGTAGACTTTCCCCCCCGCGTTCTGACAAATCCGCCACCATCAAGAGGCGAGCAACAAACAGCCCTTACACCCTGGTTGCTTCCTTCCACGCTCGAGTTCTACGAGCGTTCATTCACGAGGCTGTAATACACCCTGGGTGCTTCCTTCCACGCTCGAGTTCTACGAGCGTTCATTCACGAGGCTGTAATACACCCTGGGTGCTTCCTTCCACGCTCGAGTTCTACAAGCGTTCATTCACGAAACAGCAAGCGCAAGTACTTCGTCTCATCCTACTCATCCACACAAACGTCCCCACCCATTCCGCTTTCGTTGACAACGCCGTAGACACGTTGACCGTTGACAAAGACAAGAGTGCCACGCGCTGAACGTGGCCATCAACCTTCGCATCCCTGTTTTTCGACCGACCGGCGCCGTTTTCACGCAAACACACTCCGCACCTCATCAACTTCTCTTTTCTTTCTGTCTTGTCCTAGGCGTCTGGCGATTTACTTAAAAATGCAGGAAAGCTACCAGCAAGAGTCTATCGATGTGTTCATAAGCCATGCTGGCCCGGACAAGCTATACATCGCACGTCCTCTTTCCATTAAATTGGAAGATCAGGGTTTTAATTGCTTCCTCGACAAAATCTCGCTAAAGACCGGGGGCCACGGACCGGATGCAATGAAGAAGGCTATGGAGTCTGCTATGGTCGGCGTTTTCATTCTTTCTCCCGAGTTTGCCGCTCGAAAATGGACTATGAGGGAGCTGCGCTGCTTCCTACGCCGACGGAGAGAAGCGATGGCGCGCGGGATGCGGCCACCGACATTGATTCCGGTGTTTTACAGACTAAGTATTCGGGAATGTAGAGAGTTGGAGCCCGACCGGTACCGGGATAAGGAAGGAAAGGATATTTTTGAAGTGGAGAAATTTTTTAGCGAGGAACGACAACGCGAGGCGAGCACGGATATGGTGAAGAGGGAGCTAAAAGAGCTGGCAGATATCACTGGGATTGAAAATGACGTAAGGGCAACAAACCTGCCGGGAGATAAATTCGGCCATCTTGCAAGGGAA